CAGCAACCCGGCCCCCGGCTCAAAAAGGTTGCCTACCCCTGGAGTACAGGTAAGAAATGAACAAAATATTCCCCTCACTTTTGCAGTTCCCTCAACTGCAAAATAAATAAATAAATATAATCTCACACTGGTTGAGAAAATTTTATTTATATATTTATTTATTTATTGGATTTATATCCTGCCATTCTCTCCAAAATGGGAGAAAAACCACTATCACATTTAAGGGGAGAGAGAGAGAGAGAAGTTTTTTTGTTTAAAATCCATTTTCAGAAGAGTTGGCTGCCATAACAAAACTTCTTCATTTACAACATGCCTCCCATTGTTAGACTCTTTCTCTGGCCATTGTAAACTACTTCTGATGAGTGAATGTTCTGCTTAGGAGCCAGACTCCACTCCAATTTCCATCCACACTCTCAAGCAAGAACAGCTATTCCCATTTCCCTCTCCACCCTCACTGTTGTATGCATTTTTTTCTTTAATGACTTTGAGAAGTAAAAGGAGCTAAGTATTATACACAAATGCTGCTTTCTTTCCAACTGCATCTGGAAAACTACTCATAGATCCTAGAGTGGAAGGCTGACTGCACACTGGATGAAATGCTATTCATACAATTGCTCTTAGGAATATAGAGCATTGATGTGAAATTTGAAGAACAAAGTGAGGGGCAAAGTGGGCCTATGGGGTGCTCCTGTTTCCAGGGGTACTGATCTCTGTACTCTCCATTGTAATTAGCTGATTATATCCTAATTTTATCATTAACCATTCCTTTCAAGACTTAACTACTCTTGTAAATGAATTAACTATAGGTAATATTTTGCAGAATTCTATCATTGTTTGTCAACAATGACATCTATATGTTGTGTTTTGAAAGAAATAACAAGTATCATGTTCAAAACAAAACCATAATTCTGAAAGAAAAAACCCTCAGAAATTCATAACCAAAGCTGACCACTGACAATTAATAATACATTATGAGACAAGTGACAAGAATGAAGAAACCAATACTTTTTAGAAAGATTTGTCATGTGAGAAACGATGTACTGAAGAATTACTGGATTGGTTCTAGACTTGGGAAGTCAAGCATAGATGGATGCACACTTTGGAAAAGAAAGTTGATTTCAGTAAGTTTAAGAAAATACTGGGTGAGATCCCATGGTCAGAAAAGAGAAAGGAGTTCATGAGATATTAAAAGGACAATTATTCTGATGAGAAAGAAAAAAGTGGCTGGGTGGCTAAGTAAGGAATTTTAGATAAGATGAGATGGGATTTCAAAATAGAATTTGACAGGGATAGCCCCATTTAATTCTCTGTTGTCTCCTTTTTTCAGCTGTTTTTAAAAGTATCTCAGTTTCTCTCTCCTCTTCCCACTTTCCTCATTTATTTGTAGCTTATTTCAGCTGCTAGAAACTGAGTTCAAAGTGCAAATGTAGCTGGCATTGAATTAACTCAGCATGGGAAGAAAGGAGAGGGGCTGCAATCTTGTCCTTCCCAGTTGGCTCAGCCAAAAGAAAACTGTTAACCCGCCTCTACCTTGAGCGTTCTTCCTCATTAATAACTTTTACCATTTTGACCATATTTTGATGTTGCTTGGGTACATGTGTCCCAGTCAATGTTAGGGGATACAAATCACTAAGAAAGAATATATATATTAGAGATTATAAGTCTACCTCATGTATAAGTTGAGGGCAGGTTTTTGGGGCCAAAAATATGTATTTTGATATGATCAGTGAATAAATCAAGGGTGAAATTTAAGGGCATGTAACAAAGGCTGTAAAGAATAAAGCAAAGGAAAAGGATGCTAAATAACTTACAAAATTCCACAGGGCATGACTGTTTGTGCTAAAGGCTGGATGGATGAGAGAGTGTAAAGGGTCATCCCTTCTCTTAGGTGCTCCTAGGATGGGTTAAGGTTTCTGGTAGCTTGCCCTTATGGATGAAGGTTATAGTATTTGGCAAGGGCTTAGGTTTTCTTAAACATCTGGCACAAGATAATTATGGGGCGAAACAGACCAGCAGTAAGAGCCAGCTTCCTGGCAGCCTCGGGACATGGCATTCAGACAGCAGCATGCCCTCAGGCTACTGGGAAGCTGCATGGCTGACCACGTCTGGTGCCTTCACAGCATTTTGGCAGTGTGCCATGTACATGTGCCACAGAAAAGCTGCTGTGGCAGCAAAGGCACCTTTTTCCTGGAGCAAAAAGGAGAGGCTTTCTGCTGCTTCTTTTTGTGCTGGGAAAACGCCGGGTTGGGGGTGTGGCATGCAGTTGTTGCAGCGCCAATCCGGCACTCAAAGGGGCAGCGGCAAGTCACTCCTTCGGGGCAGTCTGTTTCACCCCTACATTAATTGCTTGTCCAAGTGCATAGCAAAGAAAGCCGCATCTATTAACCTATTCTTATCTCTTCTTTCTCATCTGGGCTCAGGTAATGCTCCTAAGGGCCTTTGCAGACTTCCAATAATAGTGCAAATTGAGTCCGCTTTAACTGCCCTGGCTCAGTGCTAGGGAATCCGCTTTAACTGCCCTGGTGCAGCCCCTGCGTGGCTTCTGGCCGATTCAGGGGTGGGTGTAATGTAAATGCCATGCCCCCGGATTAGCCAGAAGGTAGTGTCACTGGCTCATCTGTTTCAGGCCCTGGTGAAAATAAAAGAAAGGTTTCAATAGGGCCCAGCAGCCCCAAATAGCTAAAGAGGTAGTACAGAAACACCTACCCACTTCAAATGAGTTCAGGTCTCCCGGGCCAGTTGAGCTGCATCTCAGGTATCATTCTATGATTACGTTAGGTCCAAAACACACTGCAGAAATAATCCAGAATTCTGGAAACTATAGTTTTGTGAGACATTTAGCCTTCTCTATAAAAGAGCTCTGTGCCCCAATAAATGACAGTTTCCAGAATTCCCTAGCATTAAGTCAGGGCAGTTAAAACGGTTTCAAACTAGATTATTTTTGCAGTGTGTTTTAGACCTTACTTTTCTTAACTGTCTTCAGATGATATTGTTCTCTTTGAAAATGACATGTTGCATGGAATAGGAATACAGTTAATATTGGTATGAACAATTGTACTAAGCATTACCTATAGATGTTTCCAGCTTCTGCATTTATTTATGACTGGAAGAACTGGGTTTATATATATAAGGAACAATGAGGACATGCAGAGATAGAAATGAATGAATACTTATCCAAGAAACAGATTAGGGGGCTATTTCACAGGCTTATTTTTCAAAAGGGAGGGAAGGGGGGAGAGATGTTTCTCTCTCTCTCTCTCTTTCTGGTACATTAGTTTCTGACAATGTAAAATTACTATCTTTATTGTTGTGTATTTTATTTAAAACATTTTTACCTTACTTTTACCAAATATCAAAAAAAGATTAAGTAGATAAGGGGGGGAGACTCTAAAACAAACAGAGGTGC